TATTATATAATATACTATATTATATTATATATATAAAATTAAAATAATTTATATAATTAATAAGTTAAGATTTTATATATTATAATATATATTTTTTAGATTTTTGAATCTTTTAATCTTTTATTAATTATAATATTATTATAAAAATTTTTTCTAATTAAAAATAAAATATAATTAGAAAAATTTTTGTAATAACTTTAAATTTAGAATAATTCTTTCAAAAAATTTAAAATCTGAAAAAAATATATATTAAATTATAACTTATAAATTTTAATATAACAAGAAAATTTTAATTTTTATTATATATATTTATTAATATATTACTTTTTTATAATTCTTTTACAGATTAAGAAAACAAGTAATAGCAAGTAAAGAATAAATGATTAAATATGTTTTTGTAAATTCTTTTTTTTTAAGAATAAGAAAAAGAAAGATAAAGAAAATAAGATAAATAAAATTTTTTAAAAGAGTGAGAGAATATTTTATCTTTTTTATAAGTAAAGCAAATCAAAAATATTTATTATAAAATAAGATAGTGCATAAATTAAAAATTGGTAAGAATAATTGAGTTGGAACTCTTTAATATAATGTAATATAGAAATAAGAATAAATAGCATTATTATATAATTTAGTTATAAACTATATATAAATAAAATCTTCATACTTATAATTACATAATGTACAAAAAGCCTATAAATTTTATTTAGCTTTATTTAATTGAATAATAAAAATGATAAAAAAAGTATTTAGAGCTATGTCAAATTATGTGATGATAATGATGTAAATTTTGTTATTCTTTATATAATCAAACAAGCACTTTAAGTTACAAATTTTGCTATTTCTGTGGGTATATTAACAATAAAAATTTTTTCATAGAGGAATGACAAAATTCGCGCTATGATCATCATATGATTTGTTATAGTAATTTTTTATATATGTAATAGCTTGCCAAATGATAATTGTCCAATTAATATAATTTATAGGCTTTTTATATATTATGTGACTGTGAGCATGAAATTTTGTTTACTATTTACTCTCATTCTCACGTTACATTATAATAAAGAGCCCCAACTCAATTATTCTTATCAATTTTTAACTAATACGTCATCTTGATCTTTACTTCACAATAAATATTTCATAAACTTTTGATTTGCTTTACTTATAAAAAAAAGGTGAGATATTTTCTCTTTCTTTTAAAAAAATTTCATCATTTATTTTATTTTCTTCATCTCTCTTTTCTCATCTCTCAAAAAAAAAAGAATTTATAAAACATACTCAACCACTTGTTCTTCACTCGCTCACTCACTTGCTTGTCTTCTCAACCTGTAAAAGGATTATAAAGGAGTAATATATCAATAAGTATATAAATAATTCTTTATATTCATCGCTTATACTTTATTTCTTTTTCTTTTTTCACTTACAGCAGTCGAATCTTCTTTTCATCACTGCTGATGCTGACATAATTGGATTATTGGTCACTGAGAGTATATTTGCCGTACTCTACTATTTGATGACATTCTTGACCATGTGTGATCTACTTATTACTTATTTTTTTAGCATTGTATAATAAACTCATCCACAATATCAAGTTCACTAATCCATGATGCATCGGTAAACTACTCTCCATGCTTTTCATTTGCATCGTCCTTCCACTCGCGGCACAGCTAAACAAACAGCCTTTCTGGGATTTGAGTGTTTAAGCAAGGTGACTATTTTATTTGGTGAACTGCTGGGTTTTAGTTATCAAATGATCCTAGCCGTATCTGATTGGGTCGTGTTCAGTAAATCAGCATGTTACAAAAGTAGTTGTTAATGGTCAGGAGATAGGTTACGTTGCATTGTTTTTTTTACACCCATGTAGTTCTGGTTCGCGCTGAGTTTGCACCGAAAACGGAGATTAAATCTTTTAATAATATATCTAATCTAATATAATATCCCAAATAATATTTCAAGTCTCCGAAATAATATCTCACATAATATCTAATATAATATCCTCAATCTCTACTGTTATCTCTAATAGTATGGCTTGTAGGATAAACAAAAATAAAATTAGTCAAAAGATATCATGAGGGTATGTAAAGCCTTAGTTAAAGATAAAAATAATTTGCTTTTTTAATAAAAAACCTTCTTATATACTTATCTGAAACCGGCGTCGTTCCTGTAAAATTGATTATTGGTTAGGTACTTTATCCCGGAAAAGGCGTATGTATATATGTATTGTCGTGATTAAATTGATTAAAAGAATATTAATTTTTGCCTATAAAAAGCAAAGGTTAGACTTGATAGCTTGTAAAATGATTCTTTAAAAATAAGTTAAAATAATTAATAAAAAGGACCATTTAAAATCGTATGTATATATCCGCATTACCTTTAACCCGTATAAAAACTTCACTTATCTGATGCCCATAACGATATCCGAAGACATCGACACAGGCATTAGACTTATAATGTACCTCAAACGCCTAATCTCGCCCAAAATTAACCGTTTCGCAAAATCCACTTTGCGTAAATCATTCAATCTAGTTCCCGACCCTTGTCCAAGTACAAATTCTTTAGTCTACCCCAACATCCCAAATTCCAACATCCCGACAACCCAACATCCCGAAATCCAACATCCCGACAACCCAACATCCCGACAATCCAGCATCCCGACAAAGCCAACTTCCCGACAAAAGCCAATAATTGATAGAGAGGGAAGAATTATAAATGTCATTAATGATCGTTCGGTGTTAGATTTTCTTCGTGGAATTATGCACAATCTTTCTTTGTAATGGAATGTGTTGCTTTTATTCTTTTATATAAGATTTACGTTCAATTTCCTTACCTTTTTATATGTAATTAAAATTTACGTTCAATTCCCTTTTATGATAAATCAGTTAGTTATTAACGAATTAAAAATAAAGTTGCGCAATTACCGAATTATTTGTCGCGTTGATGTTTAAAATGTTAATAAATGCTAGTTGTCGATCCCCATAATGGACTAGTTTGTCGGGAAGTTGTCTTTGTCGGGAGGTTGGCTTTGTCGGGATGTTGGCTTTGTCGGAAGTTGGGTTGTCGGGAGGTTGGAATTTCGGGAAGTTGGGTGTCGGGAAGTTGGGCGGCACTCCTTCTGAGTTGAATGTGACAATACAATATGGTATGGTTTAATTAGAAATACGATATTTACGTTTCAATTTTATGATTAAACAATGAGTTTATTTAAAGGTTTCAAGGGTAACATTTTTTTGTGAAAAGATAAATATGTTAAAAGTACATGTATTATCTGTGACTAGATTAACTATACATTCAGTACCGTTTCTATGCTGATCTGTGAGAATATATAGTACTGGAAGTTAGAAGCCTGAGTACATCATTAAATTTCTGTAAAGTTCGGCGTGGCATTTTGAACATAGCAGACATATGCATTTTGAGTGATTACTATCCCGTTTTCTGGTTGTTTCTATATGCTCTACACATGTCAGCAATTAATTAGAACCCATTTCTATCAGAGTTCTAACGGTGACAACCCTTCCGAAGGTAGCAAAGTTTTGACAGAAACGTCATATGGTTCTCGAATCTTACTTGCACTGGTATTATTTAAAATGTATGTTTATAAACTTTTACTGAATTAATAGATGTTCGTACAGTACATACATATGTACACGTGCATAATTTTTTCTAAAATATTAGAAACGTGGGATATGATATTGTTAATAAGAAGAGCGCGGTTTATTATTTAATGCTATGCAGAAATAGAGTATATTGATCAAATAGTGAATAACGTACGATATAAAAAATTTTATTTTTTTTAGATTATCCAAATTGTGTAAATTATTCTAAATGAGCAAGTCTCGAAAATTTCTACAAGCTAAGAAAAAATTTCTATATATTCTAGTTATTAAATTAAAAAATGAAAATTTAATAGAAAGTAATACTTTTTACAATTAAAGATTAAAAGCATATTGCTTTATTTGATTGGTGCAAATCCAACGGCAAGCTTTTTAATATCGTAGGCACTGTACACGTTCTTAAGGAATGTGTCACCGACTAACCATTGATCATCTCCACCAATATTACCACCAGCAATACCAGAAACACACATATCACCTTGGTCTGTTGGTTCACGTGCAAGATCTTCTGGTGAAATTTTATAGGTAACTCCACCGAAAGTAAGAGCAACGACAGCGTCAGTTTTGCATGGGACAAAATATTCACCTTGCTGAGAAACTGCACCTTTAATTGCTTTGTGAATAGCATCAGCATCGGCGGGAGGGGCGATGAGAAGAGTCGTGCCAGTGTCAATGACGGCAGTCTTTCCACTGAATCCAAGAGGTTTACCATTAACACTAGCATCATCTAAAGCGATTTCCCAGAAACCAACATTATTCACAAGTTTATTATATTTGAGTTGGCCGGTAAATTTTGAAGAGTCAACACCACCAAGAGTTAATTGACTGTTGCTACCGTCCTTTTGACGTCCAAGGAAGAAACCAAATACTGAATCTTTAACTGCATTTTGAGCAACAAGCTGAGTAAAAGGTGTTTTTGCATTTTGTGTGCTTAATTGATCAAGAGCCATTCCGAGTATTCCATCAGCTTCATCCGTCTTAAAGTCATCTGACATTTTTGTTGAAAGTCCAAAGGTTTGACCTTTTGCTACTGCACCGGCGATTGAGACATCATCCACTGCAATAATTCCAGAAACTTCACCAGTACCATATTTAATTTCAAATGGTTTATTATCACTCTTGAATCCTTTACTCTTTTTCGGATCATACGATTTGTGAGCTTTGCAAGCTGCATCAGTACATGTTTGTGATGGCACCCAAAGATCAGATGAACCAGTATCGAAAATTACATCAAAAGTTTGTCCTCCTATTTCAACTGGGCCATGATATCCAATGTCAAATCCTTCATCTTTGAGAGGATCTTCGACAGTTCCTTTGCCTGTATTGTCAGGTTGATTGCCGGAATTATCGGGTTGACTATTGTCAGGATTGTTTGAATCATCAGGTTGACTATCGTCAGGATTGTTTGAATCACCGGGTTGACTATTGTCTGGATTATTTGAATCATCAGGTTGACTATCGTCAGGATTGTTCGAATCACCGGGTTGACTATTGTCTGGATTATTTGAATCGTCAGGTTGACTATTGTCTGGATTGTTTGAATTATCAGGTTGACTATTGTCAGGATTGTTATTTTTTCCATGTTTCTTTTTTCTATCCTTGCCAATAGAACCGTCACTGCTATCATCGTTAACGCTAGTGCTATTAGTATTAATAATGAAAGTTTTTGGTGAGGAAGCCCCAAATACTGGAGTGGATGCTGCTTTTAATTTTACGATGGCTTCTTGACCAACTAAACCATGACTATATGCTAATTGAATATTATTTGAATATTTTAATAGTGCACGATTTTTAATGAATTGTGACTTTTGGAGCCAAGTAAAGAATTGGGCAAATCATATTTTTTCAAATCAAGTTTGACTACGGATGATTTCGAGGCGGGAGCTGCATCGGCGGTTAAGGAAATAGCTGCCATCAAGAGAGCTAACGCTGTAATAACCTTCATTTTATTTTTCTTTTTGATTAGGAAATGATTAATGCGTAATTCAGGAGTTTGTATCGAAGAAGTGAATAAATTTTAAGGTTTTTCAAAAAGAAGTTTTTAGAGATTACAGAAAACCAGTCTGTATCTTAAAAGTCTTATGTATATAGAAGGAAGGAGAGAATGAAGTTTTTTGCTAAGCAACTCTTGTTTGAATTTGCGACGAAAATCAAATTGACAAGAGACGCGGCTCTTTTATACACTTGAGACGGTGGATGTTGATTTTTCGAATAGCATGCAATCTGCATACATTCGGCCATTTTGAATTATAACAATATTTACACGTGCATTTGTTGAATTAAATAGGATTTCAACTCGGTTTAAAGAGTGACTATTTGCATAACATTTTGATATACATAACAGTATTACTTAACATATATACAAGGTTTAGCACGAATACGCGAACTAGATTATGACAATGATAAAAAGATATCAATAATTGGATGATTTAATTGCTTTTCGGCTTTCGTATTATGTATATATGCGTGATTATTAAAATAAACCAAAGTGATTCTTTTGTTAAAGATTAGCGTTAGGAATTACGATCGACAAATTTACAAAAATTGAATCCTTTGCTAACAGATTCATTCGTCAAAACATGCAAACATTTAATTGGTGGACAATCTGGATCAGGTAAACAGAATATACATGTACATGTAAAAGCGATTTATAACCGAAATGCATATTTTAAATTCTAATAAACTATTTGACTTAAATAAAAGATGTAAGTAAAAACATAATCACATGCGAAAAAAGCTGAAACTAATGCGAAACACTTAATAACTTCAAACCTTTTTGAAATTTGAAAGCTTTGCTAATAAAAACAACCATTTTCTTCCTACAAAAACAAAATTCTTTTTGTTCATGTGGTTTTAAATCTGGACCATTAAAGAAAAAATATTATTAAGAAAAAATAATATTAAATGTGACGTTATCTTCGTTTGGAATGTAGTCAAGCACTCATAAATAACAAATTTTTAGAACAGAATATGTTTGTATTACTTGGAATTGGAATTGAAATTAATTTTTTTGTGAAAATTTGACTGGTGTAAATTGTTCATTCACACACATCGATATTTTAACTACTTATTAGTTTCTCTTACTTATTCTATTTGCTTTAATTATTAAATAATTCCTATTAGGTTTATCACAAAAGAATTTCTAATAATTAAGGAGATATTTTATAAAAGGAAATAAATTCTTTTAATTCTTTGTTACTCTAACAAATATAGAAAATGATAAATAAGCTTGTAAAATTATAATTTCTTATTGAACTAAAATTTTAACTTATATTATTTAATCTAATCTTTTACTTATCCGAGATAAAACTTGCAGAAAATCTAAAATTTAATAAGTATAGATATTTTACTGATTATTATACAAGATAAACTTATTAAAATAAAATCATGCTAAGCTAAAATTATATTAAGCTAAAAATTTTTTTTGATTTATCAAATTTTTTATTATATATAAATTCAGTTTTGTGTGAAATTTAGTAAAATAAAAATCTTGATAAGCCAAATAAATTATCTCTTTCTCTGATCTTTATCTTATCAAATTTGTCTTATACATATATATACAATTTATTATATATATCATACTAATCAAATACTATTTATATATACATTTATTCATCTCTATAAGTAATATACATGTATCTTCAAAAATAAGACCATTTATACTATAAAACTAAGAAAATCTTTTTAAGTATAATTATATATATTTCCTGAACTCGAAATTTTCAAAATAATATCTATATACAATATATACAAATTAAAAAAATTTTTTTAACTAAAACTCATTATTATTCAATAAAAAAAACTTAAAATAAATATAATGATGATTAGTTTTTTTTAATTCAAGTTATAAAAAAAGTTATAAATATTTAAACTTTATTAATTATTATTAGTAATATTATTAAAATTAATATAAAATTATATATATGAAAAGAATTTAATAGATCATCTCATTTTTTTATATTCTATTTATTTAAAAGAAAAAAGCAAATAGTTACTATATTAGAAACTTGAAGAAAAAAAATCTTATTTGAAAGATGAACTTAATAAAGTTAATCATTCAGATAATAACTTTGATTGCAAATTTGATATTAATGAAGATAATGATTGGATTATGAGTAAAGATTACAAAAATACCTAATATAAGTTTATAAAGACAAGCAAAATCTGAATGAATAAAAATAAGAAACTTTTGATATATATGAATAATTTGAGAATAACAAGATGAATATGTAAAAATTTCTATAAAAAAATAATAGTATATATACAAACTTTGAGAATATTTTTCAAAAAGATTAACAAGAAAGAAACTTCTTTTAAATTATTTAAAGGATCTGAGATTAATATTAAGAAGAAGAAAGTAAAGATATTAATAGAAAAAAAATCTTAGTAAAAGAAAAGAGAATAATGGTAATGAAAATAAAAGAAAAAGAGAAAAAAGAAAAGAAGAAGAAGAATATTCTAAAATTATAACTAGAGATTTTTAAAAGAAAATTTAATGATAAAACTTCTTTATTTAAGTTACATCTTCAATCAATAAATTAATATCTTAATTTTCTTAATAAAAAAATAATCAAGTATAAAAATAGCAATAATAATTAGTGAAACTCTTGACTGGAAATTATATTTACTAAAAATATTTAAATATAAGTAAATAATTACTATTTCTAGTAATTAATATAAAAATTTATTTTTTTATTTATATAAATATATATTTAAATCTATTAGTTATTTAGTAATAAGAAGTAATATTTATATTAAAACTATTATATTTCTTTGAAATAAGAATATTATTAGCAAAATAAAATCTTTTATTTAATTTAATAAGTTTAAAATATTTTTAATAATTTTGGCAGATTTTATAAATAAAGATATTCTCTTAGATAAATATTTTAAATAAATTTTTTTGAAATCAAATATATTATTCATATTTATTTATTATATTATAAAAATTTAAATTTAATTTATTTCTAATAATTCATATTAATATAGTATATAACTATCTATGATTATTTGACTATAAGTTTTTTTATATAAAAAAAGAAATATATATTAATAGTTATAAATAAAAAAAATATTATAAAATATTAAATAGAATTTTTATATAAAATATTAGAATTAAAAAAGTTAATATCAATATTTAATAGTAATAATATAAAGATACAAATATAATCAGAATTATCTTTTAAAAAAATTATATATACTTATTATATATAATAAATATATATTTTTATTATATAATAGAATATTTATATATTAAATATCTAAGTATAAGTAATTATTAAAAAAGAAAAAATAGAGATAGTTATTATATATTAGTAAATTTTTAATGAATATATATAAATATTTAAAACTAAAGATAAGTTTTATATTATAAAAGAAAAATATTAAAAATAATATAAAAGATAATCTGATTATTAAAAAAAGATAACAGATAATTTTAAATAAAATAAAAAGAAATATATAAAATATTTAAATTATATATAAATAATGCTTAAAAAAATTAAATAATATTAATATTTTTAATAATTAAATATTTATTAAGATTTAAAATTATTATAATTAATATGATTATAATAATTTTTTTTATTAAAAAACTTATTAAACTATTTAAAAGAAGTATATATTATTATAATTCTGGATATTAGTAGTGATAATTAATTAATAGATGAAGATTTTATAAAACAAATGCAAAAAAAATAATCCCTATTTTTAAAAAATAATTTTCTGATGCAATTAAAATTTTTATTTTTAATAATATAACTAGTTATTTAGTTTTTATACTTGATACTCTTGTTATCAAAAAAATAAATTTATTATCAAAAGAAAAGTAATCAAAAATGAAATATAAGAATTATATAATTGATATATTATCATTCTATATTAATTATATTTTATTTTTTTGAATTTCTAACTCTTGGAAATAGAATTTTACAAGATAAGATCTTTTTTTTAGATTATTTATATATTTTATTCAAAAAGAGCTAAAGAAATTATATATTATATTATCAGAATATGAATTATGATGAATAAATCTTAATTTAAAATATAAAAATAGATATGAATTAGGAATTACAAATTGTTATATAATTATAATTAGCCTGATTTTATTAAAGAAAAATATCTGTTAGAAAAAATAATTGTTACAATAGGATATAAAATGATTTTTTATTCTAAATTTCATTATAAACTTAATTATATAGAGAATTTTTGGAATATTCTCAAATAAAATATATATGCAAATTGCAATTATATTTGAAAAAAATTACAAAAAACTTTTTTAAAAGAATTGAATTCAGTTTCTTTATCAACTATCTGATATTTTATCAGAAAAATCTTTTATTATATAAATATATATTACAAGAATAAAGCTACTAAATATGCAGCAAAAAAGTATCAGTTATATTTGAATTTAATATTTAATAATATCAATAATATCAATAATATCAATAATATTAATGATATTAATATTATTAATATTATTAATATAAATAACTTGTCAAATTAATTACGTGACTTTAAATCGACATTGAAATTTTCAAAATTGGCAAAATATCACGTGATTGATCAGTTTTAGCTTGTATGTGTTCGGCATATCGATATAAAATTTCCGATCACATATTTCTATATAGAGGAATGACCATTTCTACTTTCAGTGAAATGTAATTGATGCGGGACGCCTACGGGCGTTGTTTCGAGACTACGTATACTATTTTTAGAGGATGTGAGTTTCGAAATAACGCCGTGCTCGTTATAATTTTTTTTTGCCATTTCATAAATTGTTTATCTTAAAAAGAATAAAATATATTTTCAGAAAATAGAAATAGATGTGAATCTAATAAAAAAAGATCAAATAATTTAGATAGTTGATTGCTAAAAAAAATATAAGCACTTTGTTTTCAATTAAATTTCACAAATATTGGTCGGTGTTTTTTACAGATGCCTCCAAAAACTTTTGTTTTCTAAAACTGGAAAATTAGGCACGTTCACTAAAAAAGAGTACATGTATAATAAAATTGGATGCATGGGTGTAGTGTTTAAAATTTGTTGATTTTTCTAGTTGCCGATCTTGTCTAGATACTTTTGTCAGACCGCTGTAATTATTAGTTGAGAATATTTGGATCGAATAACTTCAAATTAAACACAGGAAAAATTGAACAGAAGTAAATCTAAATGAACGAATTCGTAATATTATATGATCTGATATCCTCAATTAAAAAGTATTTTTAATCGAAACGTGAAAGAGCATAATAATATTGTGAAGAGCGAAAATCAGCCAAGGGTTGCAAAACTAATGGTAGTTTTTTGTCGTTTAGTATCTCTTTTATCCACTTCTTTTTTGTTATAATATGAATAACGTACATCCTCTCGTAATTTGAACGTTTGAATTTTATCTAAGAACTTGTCTGAACTTTCAATATCATATGCAATCAAATGTCCATAATAATCAGATTCAATAAGACGTGTTTTTTCTCCTGACCGGAAAGCGAATAGAATTTCGCTCCATTTTTGTTGTTCAAAATTTACATTTTTTCTTTTTTTCTCTTGGTTCTCTCGATTAGTTAGACTTTTTTGATCACCGTTATAAATATTTGGTAAATATTCATCGAAGAAACCTAGAAGCAATTCATTATCGTCTGCATTCGCTAATAGGCTCAAATGCATCACAGAATATGGTATTTTTGCTTTAGTGTATTCTTCATATAAATTTTTTACTTGACCGATTAAGCTATTATTATCGGTTGATTCCGATTCCAAATTCAGTGATCGTATAGCAATTAGTGCTCTGAGAATGTCATAAAACAAAAGTCTTACAGGATAAGAAGGGGCGCCAAAAATTTGAAGGGCCCAGCGGTAGACAATCAGCGATAATTTGACATACGACTTCAAGGGAGAAGATGATGATATCACGAATTTGGTTGTAATTTGTTCGCCAGAGTGTGCTGATTTCAAATAATACTCAAATACCTGTTTATAATCAGATGCTACATAATTGATGGCTTCGCCTCGTTCTTGTTGAGATGTATCTGTTTCTTTCGAATTGGAAAACAAAGTCATGCTCTGAGATGGTGAAACAAGGTTCGGTCCAATGTTATGATGAATTAATGCATTTGTGAAAGCATTTAAAAATTCTTTTGGTTTCAACAAATTATATAAAAAGTCGAGTAAGTTGTTGGTTTTCAGGTTTCTTTCTGGTTTGATCACTTCAATTAGACATCTTTGTACTAGCTCATTGATGGATTGATTACGCGTCTTTTTAAAAGCTTCAATAAATCTATCACCAATATCGGTAAGTCGATGTTCGAATAAGAATAATATGTCTCCAATAACAGAATCTGTAAGTTTGAAACCAAGCTCTTCTAATTCACGCAACATCTCTTCAACTTGCATTGCACTTGGTTTCTCCCATTCTGCAGTTGGATTAGGTGGAAATAAGATAAGTAGCGCACCTTGCATTACAAGTTCATTTACATCTTCACAAATTTCAAGGTATCCTTCACGTTTCCACATTTCAATAAGAGGAGGATGAATCAATATTGCGCGCGCGATCACATTAAGTTGTCTAACATTCTCATAACCATCTTTTGCTGGATATTCTTCGTGCACAACGGAATTAACCTGTCTTTGTTTATCATCAAGGTCATTGGATTTTAGTTTTGGTCTCGGAGGAAATGGTACGAAATGATATACTCGTATAAGTTCTTCAATCTTTACAATGTTTTGTTTCAACTTATCTGGCTCGTGATTAATGACATAAGGACCTGCGGATAAAAAGCGAAACAATTCCATATCATTTCCTTTAGAAGCTGTGTTCGATCCTCCAAAACGCTGATACCCCTCGGAGAGAAGGTATGTGAAAACATCGAGGGGTAGTTGACTCGCCCACAGACATTTGATTTTATTTTTGAGCGCTCGAATGCCATCATTACCGTGCTCTATTTTTTGGCTTATTAGTTCTTCATCATATTTGCCGAAATGCATCAATAAGCGTTGTATAAAATATCTAGATATGATAAGGTTATGAGAAACTAAAGTTTTGACAACACCGACGTTTATAAACGTTGAACCCAATCTAACGGCATGAAATAACGCGTGCGCTTTGCCATAATGTGTTATTAACCATAATGCTTTTGCATGTGAATCTGCTGCGATTCTAGCCCATTGGCGGGAAGTTAAAGCTAGTGAAATAGGGTATTGGACATATTTAAAGATTTCAATTAATAGCTCGTCTAATAAGTTATTCATTTTGAAAGATAAAAGTTTTTTCGTATTTAAATTTTCGCGACTATTACAGTATTTTATAGTTATTCAGATTGGCTCTGGATTTACTCAGGTCTTACTCGGGAACAAGTTATTTTTCTCACAGAATATTTTTTCATTGTTTTATTTCCTTATTTAGTTTTTTTCTCTCCGGCAAATTCCTGTAACATCATTTCTAAGAATGGAGCATCGCAATCGAGAAAAGTTTTCTATCAATTTATGACGATAATAAGACAGCTTGGTTACTATGCGACACTATACGCACAGCGCACACTATGTTGTACAGTTGCACAAAAAGTAACGCTTTTTTACTGTCATATGTAAAAAAAAATCTTTTTTTACCACCAATTAGTTTTGGATATTTTTCTACAATGAGAGACTGATTATTAGAAATATTCATAATGCTTTGCTTCATGTTCAAATAAACAGCCGAAGGCTGCTGCGGATTTTGTGGATTTTGTTGGTTATTAGGTTGATTCATTCTTTTAGCTTGAATATTATTATAATGAAAAATAAGTTAAAAGTTGCAGCAACAAAACTTTTATTAAAAATAGACAAGAAACTATTCTTTGTGAAAATTTTTGATTAGAGCCGTATTATGTTATCTAAAGAATATTAATTTTGATACTCATAAGAAAATCATAATATGACTGAATTTATACTTTGCTCAAACTATAATAAGAATATTAATTTTCACAATATATATTAGAAAGTTGGTAATATATTAATAAATATTAATATATCTTTATGTATATTTTGAATGTCCAAAGCTTTTTTGGATTTATCCCGTCTCAACTCCTGTTTAGCTTAAAAGCTGCAGCAAGAAAATACCATAAGCTATCCCTGCTTTTCAGCCCAAATCGGGCGCAAAAATATAATTTTTTGCGAAATTAAATACTAACCATTTTTGCTTAGATCATTAAATTAAGTTGTTATAACGATAAAAAATATTTAAGTTATTATCATTTGTTCTTGTTCTAACTGTTCCTACTTTGTCCAAACTGTGCAACATTATCAAGTTACATGTAATTACGAGTTTTGAGATTTGAATCAATATTTACTAAATGGTTTAATGTATATTTACAGATATTATACATTTTTTGAAGTTATACTCACACCTCTCTTTAGTTATTCAATTTTGCTTTCTCAAATGTAATGTCAATAGAGAGATTTGACTATATAAAATTACATACTATTATTTTGAATTATAAATAAAGAGAAAAATAGATTATATTTATTAGTTTTAATAATATTAATATATTTAATTATGGATCAGTGCAAAAAAATTTGTATCTCAATATAAAAATCAATAATTATTTCTAATAAAAATTTTAACAAATCTTTATAATTTTTTATATTAAATAAAAAGTAATGTAAATTAACTTTTTATACTATTTTAACTATTGTATTATACTTTAATTCAATAATAAATGAAGTATTACTTTACTAAAAAAAAAACTAAAATAAAATTATTTTTTTTAAAAAAGATATTTTAAATATTATCACTATCAATTTGCAATATTTAAAATTTCAAATTATACAAACAGGCTGCTCTAGATTTGATAAATATAGATTTAAAATCTCATAAAAATTGAATCAGTAGTTATAAAGATATTAAAGTTCAAAGTAATTAAATTATTTACTATATAATTTTTATATTAATTTTAATCAAAGTTTATATAATAAAATTTAATTGAAAAAAGTTATTATTAGTAAAATTTTTTTTATAAAAGACATATAGTAAAAATATTTATATTTAAATAATTATCAATATTTAATAACTTAATTAAATAAGACAGAATTAAATTTTTATTTTGAAAAAATAATCTATTAATATTTATCTAAGATATAAATCTTTTAATATCAATCTTATATTATTAAATTTTTATTATAATATAATTTATTCTGAATTTATTTAAAATAAAATAATAAATATTATTTTTAATAAATTAATAAAAATTTTATTTTCTTGAAAGAAATTACTTATAAAAATATATAATTTTTTTTAATTATATTAATTTAATAATTAATATTTTTGAATTTTAAAATAAAATCTATTAAGATATAGAATAATAAAAAATTTTCTTTAAAATATATATATAATTATATTAAAATAATATTTAGTTATAAGAAATTTAAATATTCTATTAAATTTCTTTATAAATTATTTATTTTTTTCAAATTAAATAATATATTATAATTATATTTATTAAATTAAAGTATTAAATTTTTTAAAATATAATAAAAAAATTAAAAAATAATAATAATAAAATAAAATAAATCAAAAATATTATTCAAATATTATTAATTATTTAAATATAATTATTAAAATTGAAATATATTTTGTTTAAATTCTTTTTAATATATTTTAACTTGATTTTTATATAATAAAAAACTATTTATATTTATATATTTTTTATTAATATATAATAATAATTAAAAATATAATATAATAATAATAAAATTTAATAAATTTATTAATATCTAATTAAATAAAAAGAAATATAAATTATATAAAAATAATAAGAAAAAAATAAAAAAATAGAAAGAAATAAATCAAGAATAAATTATATATAAAAAATATAATTATTTAAATTAAAAGTTAAGAAAATAATTTATAAAATTATAAAAATTAAAATAATTTATAAAATAATTTATAAATTATATAAAATTAAATAATTTATAAAATTAAGAAAAATTAAAAATTAAATACTATTTTAATCAAATATATAAAAATTATTAATTAATATAATTCAATATAAAAATATTAATATATAAAATAATAAAATTTATTAATTTATTAATAAAATTTTATAAAATAAAACTAATATTTAAAAGATATTTATATTAAATAAAATAGATTTGAATATATTTTTATATAATTTTTAATATTTTTATATTTTAATATAAATAATAACTAGAATTTTTATTTTGAAAAAATCATAAGTTTAAATTTTAAAAATAATTTTTAAATATGATTTCTAAAAATATGAAATATTATATATTTATATTTATTATTATATTATTAAATATATAATAAATATATTTTTAAATTTAAATAAAATTAAATATATAGTTATAAAGAAATTAAGTATTAAATTTAAAAAAATATAAATAGTATTTTATATTAATATTTAAAAAAATATAATCTATCTAAAAAAATATTTAAATAAATTAAAAATATTAGTTTAAAATTTATTAAAAAAATTTAATTTTATCAAAAATTTAATAAAATTATAATCTTCTTATTATAAAATATAAAATTAAAAAATTATTTATATAAAATAAATTAGCAAAGTAAATTTGTTTATTTTAATTTTATAACTTATATAATTTATTTATTAATAATAAAATAAGTATTAAAATTATATAAAATAAGTAAAATATCTTTAAAAAATGATTTAAAATTATATAAATTATTAGTATATTATTTTTAAAAAATATTTAATAATTAATTAATAATATAAAATAAAAATAAATAATTATAAATAATAATATTAATTTAAAAATTAATAAATTAAAAATATAAAATAAGAAAAATAAGAAATTTAAAGAAAAATTATATTATAATTATAATAACTTAAAATAATTAGATATTTTTATATAAATTTATAAAATATTATTTTCTAAAAATTTTTAATAATTTAAATTTTCTATTTTTTTAAATTTTATATTAAAAAAATAAAAAAATTAAATTTTTTATTTTCTAGTTTTTTTATAAAAAATTTAATTTTTTATTTTTTGATTTTTCTATTTTTTAAAATAAAAAAATTAAATTTTTAATTATTTATAATTAAATAAATTTTTATATTAATTATATTAATTAATTAAATTTTATCTATAATAAAAATTATTAATTAATATTTATAATAATTTTGATTAAATTATCTTTTTTTAATTTAAATCTTTATTTCATACTATCTGTATAATAAATTAGTTTCTGTATCACTTTTCTCAAAAATTAATTTCATTCTGAATATATAAATAATTATTTATTTATTTAATATATTAGATTTAATATATTATTATATAAAATAATTACTATATATATCTATATTATTAATTTAAATAATTAATATTTTTAATTAGATTTCTTTTTAATTTTCTTTTATAATTTTATTTATTTTCTTTTAGTATTATTTATATTATTATTTATATTATTTATAATTATTAAATTATAATTAGTTACTTTCTGAAAATATAAATTAAGTTAATCAATTTATTTAGTCATATATATTTTAAAAATATTAATTTATTTACTTTTTATATTTATTTCTTTCTTATAAATAAGTTCTATTTATTTTGTAAATTTAACTTCAAATCTAAATATTATTCAAATAATAAAATTATAAGTTTATAAATTAAAACTATTTATATTATATTTTATCTTATTTATAATTAT